CGAATTTGTCCTGTAGGATTTGTGTATTCATTTCCTGCCATGAACTCCTTGTTTAGCTCTCTCCTGACAAACCAGAAAGTTTCCTGACACACAAGCTACTTATCTTCAAAGACAATAGAGACAAGTCTTACCAAATATCCCAGCATTTTATTGGACATTGCATTTTTATTGACATTATATGAGACCCAGATGTCAGAGTTCTTGGTAAACATTTGTTTTAATTGATTTGGAGTTTATAGGGATGTTTGTGGCCAACTAACAATGGAATAAGTAAATCAGCAAGATAACTATTCAGTCCAGGGGGAAAAAAATTGTTCTCAAATGTCTCCATTCCTAGCTTCTCATGAATAGTCTGTCCTCCTTCCTTGACTCTAGTACCTCCCAGAAAAGCAGCTCTGAAACATTTTCTTAGCAATTACCAAGAAAGAGGCACCATGTGGCTCAAGTGGTAGAGCGCTAGCCTTGAGCTGAAGAGCTGAGGGACAGTGCCCAGGCCCAGAGTTCAGGCCCCACGACCAGATACCCCCCCCAAAAAAAAAGAAAAACGAAAGAGGCACAATTGCTTTCTTTGAGGGGCACTATTTACTGATTCAAGAAATCTTCCGCTGGGCACTGGTGGCTCACACCTGTAATCCTAGCTACTCAAGAAACTGAGATCTGAAGATTGTGGGTTCAATGCCAGCCCAGGTAGGAAATTCCTTGAGACTCTTGTCTCCAAGTAACCATGAGGAAACTGGAACTGGTGCTGTGGCTCAGTGGCAGAGTGGTAGCCTTGAGCAAAAGAGCTCTGGGACAGTACCTATGCCCTGAGTTCAAGCCCCATGCCTGACAAAAAAATAAAAAGAAATCTTCCTTGTTTCCAGGAATTAAGTTATCTTACAACAGACTACTAAAACAAGGTAGGAAAATCCTTCTTTTCCAAGAGTACTCCCTTCTTGTGTGAAATATCAATAATACATTAAACTATCAAAGAATGAAATTTTTATGAATTATGCTGTTAGACAAAAGAAATTTAAAACAATGTGTTTCCTGTGCAATACAGCTGATTTATCTATACTCTGCTTCGAGTTTTTATCTTTCGGGAGTTGGGATGCATGGCACCTGGCATGCAACCATGTAACCCCACTAGACTCCAGCCCTCTGAGGAATTTGCTTGAGTTTATCGAGATTTCCACTGCCCTTAGTCTTCCCATAACTATTCTTGTCCTTCTAGATATTGATACTTTCAGATTCTTCTTACTTACACTGAGAAGGTTTCCATGACAAGCTTTTTAAATAAATGTGATAAAATGTATATTATATAAAATGTATATTTGTGTGTGTGTGTGTGTGTGTGTGTGTGTGTGTGTTGGTACTAGGACTTGAACTCAGGATCTTAGTGCTATCCTCAAGACTGGCTGGCATTCTACCACTTAAGACAGTTCTACTTTGGTGTTTGGGCTTGTGTGTGTGTGTGTGTGTGTGTGTGTGTGTGTGTGTGTGTGTGTGTGTGTTTGATTGGATAAAAGAGTCTCATAGACTTTCCTACCCAGGCTGCTTCAAACTATGATCCTCAGATCTCAGCTTCTTGAGTATTATAGGCACTCAACTAAATTTACCATTTGAAACATTTTTAAGCATATAGATAGCTCAGTGGTGATGAGTACATGCACATTGTTGTCTGACCATCACCAATATGAAGCTACAGAAGTTGTTCATCTTCTTTAACTCTGTATCCACTAAAGTACATTTATGATAAGCTTTAAAAATCACTTAAACGTTTCCAAATGGTGGGAGGCATGGCTCAGCAGTACAGCTTCTGCAGAAAAAGCATGAAGCCCAGAGTTCAAACCTCAGTACTGCAAAAATAAATAAGCAAGTACATAAATAATTAGGAAGAGTTCTTCATAGCAGGAACGAGTGATTTTAGAGAGCCATCTTTTGCAGTTGTGGCAATGTGCTTTTTTCATGGCTAATGGAGATTTCTCTTCCTGCATAGTGAAAGCAGCTAGCTATTTGCACCTCATGGCCTCTTATACAGGCCACTGGGGCCCACTGCGGCTGCGTGCGAGAGACATGAGCTGGAGGAGCAGCTGCTTCACAGCTCAGGATTATGGACACGGCGTATGTCTATGAGTCTACACATCACAGTTGCTGTGCAAAGAACAGATGGGCCTCTGATCTCCCAGTGTATCCGTGAGGACCCCCATCTTGAATGTTAAACAATGACCCACAGAGAGAAAGTAATTTGTTTTCTCCAGTTAATAATCCCTTCCACAGACTGGAATCCTCCATGAGCAAGAACACCAGAGCTGCTCTGCAGAGTCAAAGCGGCAGCTTTTTGGCTCCCACCCAGAGCTTTTATTTGCTGAGACAGACAGTGCTTAAAGCTGTCATGTGGCAAAAAATGGTCAACGTGGGGCTTTTCCTGCTTTCCAAACACACATAACACAGACTAGCCCTCCACGAAGCTCTGGTCTTCACTAGAGAAATGAAGTATCCTGTGCAAGTCGAAAAGACTAGTAAAGAAAAAATCATGGGTTCATGTATCAGAAGGAAAATACTGCTGCTTTTTTTTGTAAAATCATTTTTGACAATAGATATGGGTCTAGATTGATCCAAATTAGTGTTACCTTATACATATACATATATATATATATATCCTTAAAATACACTGTATCCCAAAAATAATTGCAAAAGCCAAGAATGTTGAAGAAAAGTAGGTAGATCAGTAGTTGGGAGTGGTGGCTTAAGCCTGTAAACCTTAGCTACTTGGGAGGTAGAGATCAAGGCCATCCTGGGCCTAAAAGTTCAAGAAGACTCTATCTCAACCAATACTCGGCATGTGTCACCCACCTATTGGCCCTAGTGAAATGGGAAACCACAAGTAGGAGGATCACAAATTGGGCATGAATGGAGACCCTACCTTGAAAATGGTCAACACAAAAAGGGGCTGAAGGTGTAGCTTAAGTGGTAGATGCTTGTCTAGCAAGTGCCAGGCCCAGAGTTCAATCCTCAGTAGTTCAAGAAGAAAGAGAAAGAGCAGGGGGGGAAGGGGAAGGGAGGGAGAAAGAGAGACAGAGAAAGAGAAAGAAAGAAAGAAAGAAAGAGAGAGAGAGAAAGAAAGAAAGAAAGAAAGAGAAAGAAGAAAGAAGGAAGGAAGGAAGGAAAGAGGGAGGCAGGAGAGGGAAGGAAGGAAAAAAGAATGAGAGAAACAGAAGGAAAGAAGAA